AATCCTCAACTTCTGTCTCAAGCATCAACGCGAACCTCAATGCAAACGGTGAATATCCGTTCCTACCGTTATCGATTCTCTCTCCCGATCCCTACTCTCTGGAAGATAACAATGGTCCCATTGGCCGCAAGTTCCCCTGGGGGTTCGCTGACCCTTACAACCCTGAGCACTGCGATTTTATCAAGCTGAAGGACACCGTGTTTGGAGAATGGCGCGGGGAACTCCGCGAGGCTAGTCGGGAAGTGTGGTACGAAAGATGGAGAACTAGTCGTCTTAACAATAACGGTAATGGACCAAGTGGATCCTCGAGTAAAAATGGAGTTCGTGGTGGTTCTGGAAGGAGTGGTCGTGCCACTCGATGATTTTCTTACTCTTTTTGTTCTTCGTTGACTTCAAGTTGAATACGTGTGTGTGTGTGGTTGGGTGTGGGTGGGTGCGATTTCATTTTATGTGACAGGCTGCTGACCCGCAGACAATTTCTTTCTTCTTTTCTTCTTGCAGGTCTTGAAAATTACTCCACCGTTGCTGCGTTGTCGCGCGAATTTGAATCGAGAGATTGAGAGGGAAGGGAAAAAAAAGGTTGCTCTGACTGGAAGGCTGTCTCGATCAAAATAAAAATATAAAAAAAGGAATTTAAAAAAAAAAAAAAAAAAAAAAACCCAAAGAAGATAAAGAAAGCATAGAGATAGAGGCAATTGTGTACAGCCAGCATTCTGCTGTGCCGCCTTCCATTATCCAAAGGGCTAGCTAACTCTGTCTTCTCTCCTTTCTTCGAACAGCTTCTGTAAGATGATGGATATATTTTTTCTACTCGCTTGTTGTTCTCCTTTCCGTTCTGCTTCTTCCTTCATCTACTGTTTTTTCAATGCTCTAACACAACGTTATATCCCACAATCTTGCTTTCACTTGTCCTATTCATTTTGTTTCATTGGCTTCTTTTTCCATATATTGTTGCTTCATCCCACCTCTTGTCTTATCTCCATTTCCCCCAGTGCTTTTCTCATCGAGGTGGCCCCTATTTTATCTAGTTCTTTTCACTTATCGTCGCCGATCAAGGCTTGTATGTTTTAAACATGAAATTCTACTTCAATCTTCCATGTTCCCTCTTTCTCCTTAATTATTCCCCCATACCTCATTTCCTCCCCTTACTGAAACCTTTTCCAATTCTCTTTCTTCTCTCCACGCCCAGCGCCTTTTTAATGGATCAAAACGTCCCTTTGTGATAGTCTGCTATTTATTTCCTTTTCACTATTTTCTTTTTGTGTTAGAATGCCAGCAGCAATCTCGCTATTAAATTTAAATTAAATCATTTTGTTTTTGACAAGGACTTTTCAATCTGATTGTTGTGTTCCATTTCATTCCCAGTCCACTGCTCCAGTGCAATAAAACTCTCAATTGGCGTAGCTTAGCTCGCACCATCTTTATCTCCCTACTCTGTGTTCACATAATTCTATGAAATTTTGTCTTCTTCTACTTCCACAAAGTAATTTTTGGGAAAAAAAACCTCTATTCGCCCCTTCCATC